AGACGCTCCACATGGACGTGTGGGGCCCAGCCCGCGTCCGTGGTCAGGGTCAGGAGAGGTACTTCCTGATAGTTGTTGACGACTACTCGCGCTACACCACGGTCTTCCCCTTGCGCGCCAAGGGTGACGTCCCTGGTGTTTTGATCCCCTGGATCAGCCGAGCCCGTCTCCAGCTAGGCGAGCGCTTTCACTCGGACTTTCCTGTCCTGCGCTTGCACTCTGACAGGGGTGGTGAGTTCGCCTCCGACCTCTTGGCAGCCTACTGTGCTGAGCACGGCATTGAGCAGTCGTACACGCTTCCGGCCTCTCCACAGCAGAATGGGGTTGCTGAGCGCCGCATTGGCTTAGTCATGGAGGTCGCTCGTACCTCCCTGACCCATGCGGCTGCTCCCCACTTTCTGTGGCCGTTTGCAGTCCGGTACGCAGCGCATCAGCTCAACCTCTGGCCCCGTGTCTCCTTGCCGGAGACTTCCCCGACTCTACGGTGGACGGGAGAGGTTGGCGATGCGTCGCGTTTCCGGGTCTGGGGATCTCGAGCTTTTGTCCGCGACACGTCCGCGGACAAGCTCTCGCGTCGCGCTGTTCCCTGTGTCTTTCTTGGCTTTGTTCCCGACGCGCCTGGATGGCAGTTTTACCACGTCACCTCGCGCCGGGTTCTGGCCTCTCAGGACGTCACTTTTGACGAGTCCGTCCCCTTCTACCGCCTCTTCCCCTACCGCACTGCCCCGCTCCCCCCCCCGCCTCTCTTCCTCGCTCCAGGTGCTGAGGTACCAGACCCCCTCCCCCCTCAGGGTGCCGCTCCCTCAGGTGTGTCCCAGGTAGACCCGAGTGAGCCTGTCGAGGTAGCTGTTGACTCGCGTCCTGCGTCTGGGGGTGCTGAGCCTGGGAGTGCTGCGTCTGAGGGTGCGGAGCCTGGGGGTGCTGAGCCTGGAGGTGCGGAGCCTGGGGGTGCTGAGCCTGGAGGTGCGGAGCCTGGGGGTGCTGAGCCTGGAGGTGCGGAGCCTGGGGGTGCTGAGCCTGGAGGTGCGGAGCCTGGAGGTACTGAGCCTGGAGGTGCGGAGCCTGGGGGTGCTGAGCCTGGAGGTGCGGAGCCTGGAGGTGCGGAGCCTGGTGGTGCTGAGTTTGGACGTGCTGAGTCTGGGGGTGCTGAGTCTGGGGGTACTCCATCTGGAGGAGCCCTCTCCTCCCAGCAGCTGCAGGAGAGGTACCTCGAGTACTGCCGCCTCCGGAGAGGTGCTTCTGGAGCTCGTCCCGGTACTTCCCCTCCTACCCAGGAGCTCCCCCCCATTCAGGTGATCCGCGAGTGGTACACGCGGCGCTGCAGTCTTCGTAGTGGTGCTCCTGGTGCTGCGGACCCGAGCGGTGGTGCTGTTGCTGGTGCTGAGGACCCGGATACTGGAGCTGCTACTGGTGCTGAGGACCCGGGCGTTGGAGCTGCTGCTGGTGCTGAGGACCCGACCGGTGGCGCTGCTGCTGGTGCTGAGGACCTGACCAGTGCCCCTGCTGCTGGTGCTGAGGACCCGGGCGTTGGAGCTGCTGCTCGTGCTGAGGACCCGACCGGTGGTGCTGCTGCTGGTGCTGAGGACTCGGGCGTTGGAGCTGCTGCTGGTGCTGAGGACTCGGGCGTTGGGGCTGCCACTGGTGTCCCTGCTGCTTCTGGAGACGCTGCGCGGCCGCGACCGTACTTCGTACCGCTCCTTCAGCAGGTTCTTGGTCAGGCTCCTCCTCCTTGTCCTCCTTCCTCCGTCGAGTGTCCTCTGCCTGTCCAGCCGCAGTCACAGTTACCGCCTGTCTCGCCTCTCCCTGCTCCCTCCCCTTACGCTGGTCCCACAGGAGGTCTTACAGAGCGTCGTGAGCCTGAGTCTCGTCCTGCGTCGCCTGTTCGTACTGCTCGCACTGGTCGTCGTGTCCCACGTGAGCGTCCTCCTCCTGTCCCTGGCACTCACTACATGACTCTGCGTCCCTCCACTGCTCCTCAGCGTGTCCCGCTGCCGTCTCCTCCTGCGTCCTCTCTTCCTACTCTTCCTGACCCGGAGTCTGACTCCCGTCGTGCTGCCAGTCCCACTGTTACGCGTCTCCTCGCTACAGTTGTCACTGACCCGACCTTTGAGTCCTCTGCTGCGTCTGCTCTGGTCGCTGAGTTGGTTGACTTTGCTGCTCGCTGTCGCCTAGACTACGCTGCCAGCCTTGTCGCTAGGTCTGAGTCTGCGTCTGCCTGTCCTCCGTCCGTCGGGGGTGAGTGTGCCCTCGGCACGGACGTCCTTGAGGACAGACAGGAGGAGTTCCACTGCCTTGCTGCTGCTTTGCCCCGTCTCGTGTCCTTGCTAGTTGCCCCTGAGGGAGACCCGGATGCACCAGACATCCCGACCCCACGCTCTTACGCTGAGGCGATAGCGGGTCCCTACTCCTCTCAGTGGCAGACAGCCATGGACGCAGAGATGGCCTCCTGGAAGTCCACAGGCACCTACGTAGACGAGGTTCCCCCTCCTGGGGCGAACATCGTCAGTGGCATGTGGATTTTCAGGGTGAAGCGGCCGCCGGGTTCTCCACCTGTCTTCAAGGCGCGCTACGTGGCTCGAGGCTTCAGTCAGCGAGAGGGAGTAGACTTCTTTCAGACCTTCTCCCCCACCCCGAAGATGACTACTCTTCGGGTGCTGCTGCACATAGCCGCTCACCGCGACTACGAGCTTCACTCTCTTGACTTCAGCACTGCTTTCTTGCAGGGCAGCCTGCACGAGGAGATCTGGCTGCGCCGCCCCCCTGGCTTCACTGGGTCATTTCCTCCTGGCACCCAGTGGAGGCTTCAGCGGCCGGTCTACGGTCTCCGCCAGGCGCCACGTGAGTGGCACGACACACTGAGGACGACACTTGCGGCTCTTGGGTTCGCTCCCTCTACTGCTGACCCGTCGCTGTTTCTACGCACCGACACCTCGCTGCCGCCGTTCTACATCCTCGTGTACGTCGACGACTTGGTCTTTGCCACTGCTGACACCGCGGCACTCGCTCACGTGAAGTCGGAGCTGCAGAGGAGACACACGTGCACAGACCTGGGTGAGCTGACGAGCTATCTTGGCTTGCGGATCACCCGGGACAGAGCGCGGCGCACCATCACCCTGACTCAGTCACACATGGTGCAGCAGGTTCTCCAGCGCTTCCGCTTCACGTACTCCTCGCCTCAGTCCACTCCTCTGCCTACCGGTCACTCGCTCTCAGCTCTGCCTTCGGATGAGTCCGTAGAGCCGAGTGGCCCGTATCCAGAGCTTGTGGGCTGCCTCATGTACCTGATGACCTGCACTCGACCTGACCTTGCATACCCTCTTAGCATCCTAGCACGCTATGTCGCTCCTGGCCGTCACCGGAAGGAGCACATGGATGCTGCTAAGAGGGTGTTGCGCTACTTGTGCAGTACGTCGGGCATGGGGCTTGTGCTTGGAGGGCGAGACCGGGTTGTTCTCACAGGGCACTCAGACGCTTCTTGGGCAGACGACCAGGCTACTCAGCGGTCGTCCCAGGGTTACACCTTCAGCCTTGGCTCTGGCTCAGTTTCTTGGCGTTCTACTCGCTCTTCTTCTGTTCTCAGCTCCAGTTGTGAGGCTGAGATCTACGCCACAGCCATGGCTGCTCAGGAGCTACGCTGGCTGACCTACCTGCTGACCGACCTCGGAGAGCGGCCTCGTTCTCCTCCAGTGCTGTACGTTGACAACAAGGCTGCCATTGCCTTGTGTGAGGAGCACAGACTGGAGCACAGAACGAAGCACATCGCTCTGCGGTACTTCCTTGCTCGAGAGCTGCAGCAGCGTGGTCAGCTTTGTCTGCGTTACGTGGCCACGGAGGCCAACACTGCTGATGTGTTCACCAAGGCGCTTCAGCCTTGTGACCATCAGCGCTTTTGCACTCTACTAGGCCTTGTACCTACTGGGCCTCACTTGCTTACCTCTTGACCTTGCTTGTACTGTGATCACTATATATATATGCCTACTTGTTTACTTTTGCTAGGTTGTGATCACTGTATCTCTTGCTTTGTTATAAACCTGCATGTGAACTGGTCTTGAGACCACTTGCTTGTGCTCGGAATTTGTGTGGAATCCTTGAGATCCACCCTGAGCTTGCTTTACTTTGCTTTGACTGGTCTTGTGACCCTGTGGTTGTCTCCCACTGCGCCTATGGGGGTGTGTCAAACATTGCATGTTTATATTGTCTAGGCTGTAGTGGGTTACACCTTAGGGGGTACACAAAGTTAGGGTTTACTACTTGTACCAAACTCTGTTCTAGTTTATTCATTCCTGCTCAGTTATTTCTGACAACCGCCATGGCTGCATAGGAGTTACGCTGGCTCACCTACCTGCTGACTGACTTGGGAGAGCAGCCTCGTTCTCCTCCAGTGCTGTACGTTGACAACAAGGCCGCCATTGCCTTGTGTGAGGAGCACAGACTGGAGCACAGAACGAAGCACATTGCTCTGCGGTACTTCCTGGCTCGAGAGTTGCAGCAGCGAGGCCAGCTTCGTCTTTGCCACGTGGCCACTCGGGCCAACACTGCTGACATATTCACCAAGGCACTTCCGTCTGGTGATCATCAGCGCTTTTGTACTCTGTTAGGCCTTGTGCCTACGTTTCCACACTTGCTGTAGTCTCTGCTTGTACTGTGATCTGTACATATATATATATGCATGCTGGCTCTTGCTAGGTAGCCATCACTGTACTGTTATTGCTGCATATATATCTCTGCATGTGAACTGGCCCAGTGGCCCTTTGCTTGTGCTCAGAATGCGTGGTGACGTTGTGATCCACCCTGAGCTTGTTTTGCTTCTCTTGACTGGTCGTGTGACCCCTTGTTCTCCCCCACTTTGCCTATGGGGGTGTGTCAAACTATATATGCTGCATATTGTCTAGGCTGTAGTGGGGTAGCCCATATGGGGTACAACCTAGTTAGGGTTTACTACTTGTACTCCTGCATCCTGTTAGTTCATCCATTCCTGCTGCTAGATTCTTACAACTTACATGCGACATTCACTCCCGTTCCGCACACTCAATCCCGTCGCCCGCACTCCCGTCGCTCACACTCCCGACGCTCACACTCCCGCCCTCACACTGATGTCGCTCACAATTCCGTCCTCACAATTCCGTCGCCTACTCACTCCGGCCTCTCACGAACTCCCGTCCCTCAATGCGTCCCGTCACTCACGCACTTTCGTCCCGCGCTCACCTCGTAGTGCGCGGTACTCCCTCCCGCTCCGCAGTCACTGTCGTCCCGAATTCTCACCCTCCTCACGCAAGAACGATGCCATCGTGCTCTCTCCCTCCCTCACTCAATCCCGTCCCTCTCTCATACCCGTCCCTCTCTCACACCCGTCCCTCTCTCACACCTGTTCCTCTCTCACACCCGTCCCTCTCTCACACCCGTCCCTCTCTCACACCCGTCCCTCTCTCATACCCGTCCCTCTCTCACACCCGTCCCTCTCTCACACCCGTCCCTCTCTCATACCCGTCCCTGCTGCCCCCAGGTGCCACGTGGCATCTGGGGTGGTCACCTCTCCATGCATCCCCCTCTCTGCCTCTCTCGTCCAAGCCCTCGAAGCCCATCCCCTCCTTTTCCTCTCAGCCGTTCTCTCCCCTCCTTCCTCATCCCCTCTCCTCCTTTCCCTCTCAGCCCCTCTCAGCCATTCTCCTCCTTTCCCTCTCAGCCCCTGTCCTCCTTTCCCTCTCAACCCATCTCCTCCTTTCCCCCATGTCCTTCCCTCCGTTTCCCCCCTTTTTATCTCTCCCTTTCCCCATTTCCCCCCTTTTCATCTCTCCCTTATCCCGTTTCCCCCCCTTGTCCTTCCCTCCGTTTCCCCACTTGTCCTTCCCTCCGTTTCCCCACTTGTCCTTCCCTCCGTTTCCCCACTTGTCCTTCCCTCCCTTTCCCCCATGTCCTTCCTTGCGTTTTCCCCCTTATTTCTCCCTCCCTTACGCCCATGTCCCTCCCCTTCTCTTACCTCGCCCATCCTTCCCACCTGGTCTGCCCTTCCATTCCCCTTCTCACGTCCATCCTTTTTGCCCTCTTCCCCATGCCCCTTGCTCAGGGTCCTCATGACTCATACCCCATGCCCTAAGACCCTCTGTGGGCGGCGGCAGCAGCCTTCTCACTCACACACCCTGCTCACTCACACACCCTGCAGTGCTGGGGAAAGCAGTGTTGGTGGGTGCAGTGCTGGTGAGTGCTGTCCTGTTCTTCTCCTCTGCCGTTCCTCCCTTCATAAGTTTCTCCCCTCTATTCCACCCTTCCTCTTTTCATCCCTTCTTTTGATCCTATTCAACTACCGTATAAGGATAAGTTGAGGGACCTTGCGTTATCCTTTCCCCCTTTTCCTTCCCCGGTGCTCAGCCATGTCACATCTTATTTTCTCGTTTGTGTTTGTATACAGGTCTGCTATGCATCTGGTTGTGGTGATGTGTACTACTATGATTACTGGCCATGCCGGATATTGATGTTGGATGCTTTGTTATAATACACAATCTTTGCTAAACCACAAAGTACTTGGCAACTGACGATCGATATCAAGATGACAGCTAGGATATATACTGTTTTTTGGCCACCCTTGGCTGCTACACTGCATGCAATAAACCCTGGGCCATGGTGCTGAGACCTGTACCCTGCGCGGCTGGAAATGGGTGTGAGTGAAAAGGGGAACAGACTGAGCAGCGGGAAATAGAGTGAACAGGAAGAAACTAAGCGAGTAGGGGGGGAGAAAATGAATAGGGGAAACAGAGTGAGCAGGGGGGAAGAGAATGAATAGGGAAAACAGAGTGAGCAGGGGGGTAGAGAATGAATAGGGAAAACAGAGTGAGCAGGGGGGAAGAGAATGAATAGGGAAAACAGAGTGAGCAGGGGGGAAGAGAATGAATAGGGAAAACAGAGTGAGCAGGGGGGAAGAGAATGAATAGGGAAAACAGAGTGAGCAGGGGGGAAGAGAATGAATAGGGAAAACAGAGTGAGCAGGGGGGAAGAGAATGAATAGGGAAAACAGAGTGAGCAGGGGGGAAGAGAATGAATAGGGAAAACAGAGTGAGCAGGGGGGAAGAGAATGAATAGGGAAAACAGAGTGAGCAGGGGGGAAGAGAATGAATAGGGGAAACATAGTGAGCAGGGGGGAAGAGAATGAGCAGGGGAAAGAGTGAGCCGGAGAGATCAAGGGGTGTGAGACCGCTGCTTGTCGCCGCTGTAGACCGCAGGGAGGGGGTGTAAGGGCGTAGAGGAGGAGTGGAGTGCGGTGGAGGGTGGTGGGCAGCTCACATACCCTGTGGGGAAGGGAATGGGCGAGGTGTAACAGTAGGGAGGTCAAGTGTGTGAGGGATACTGCTGCGTGTAACCGCTTCAGCACGCAGGGCGGGTTGTGAGGGCGTGAAGGGGGAGTAGAGTGCGGTGGAGGTTGGTGCGGAGGAGGAGGAAGAGAGAGGAGGGAGGAGCGATTGAAGCACCAGAGAGAACGAGATGAGTGAGGGGGAAGGAGGAAGAGGAGGAGGAGGAGTGAGAGGAGGAAGGAGAGGAGGCGGAGGGAGAGGATGAGGAGGAGGGGAGAGGTTCCGAGTGATGCTGTTGCCCCACCCTGACAGATGGCGCAAGTGAATCAGCGACTGGAGGAAGAGTGGGTGGGGGATTGGGGGGGAGAGGGGGAACGGAGGAAGGCGAGGAGGTGAGAGGAAGAGGCGTTGGTGATGCTGTTGCCCCACCCTGACAGATGGCGCAAGTGAACCAGCGACTGGGGGGTGGGGGATTGGTGAGCAGAGGAAATAGCAGGACGGACGGGAGGGGGAAGCGAGGGCGACGGGAGGGGGAAGCGAGGGCGACGGAAGGGGGAAGCGAGGGCGAGGGGGAAGCGAGGGCGATGGGACGGGGAAGCGAGTGCGATGGGCGGGGGAAGCTAGGGCGGCGGAAAAGGGAAGCGAGAGAGACGGGAGGGGGAGGCGAGAGCGACGGGAGGGGGGAGCGAGGGCGATGGGAGGGGGAAGTGAGGGCGACGGGAGGGGGAAGCTAGGGCGGCGGAAAGGGGAAGCGAGGGCGCCGGACGGTGGATTCGAGGTGGACGGACGGGGAAAGCGAGGTCGACATCTAATTTCTGGGGTCCTGCCGCATATTATAACCGTGCTTAACACTTGCATTCGCGCCACATTCCCTCCCTCGGTCATCGGATTCTTCTCGATTCCGCTCAAACGTATATAATCTTACATGTTATACCTATCTATTTTAGGTCTGGATACTTACTGATGTTATAACTACGGTATCTGCTTCTTACGCACGCTTTTCTCAGCCTGCTCCAAGATTGTGCTTGTGGACTTGGCGAAAGTCTGAGTTGTGAGCTGCGTGAGAGTGGTTGGGTTTGGTGTTGTCGTTACTGTTGGTTCAAGTTTCCTGAAGATGAAGCTAAGTTTGCGATACACTGTGGAGCATTCCGCCGTCGCCACCTGCCTCTGGCGAATTTTCCTTTCGCTAAACTTCGCGCAACCCATTTTCAAGTTCAGTATTTATGAACCCTTGCCATTCTAGACTCGGGCTTTAAAAGTCAGATCTGGTAGATTTGTGATGGATTGATGCCCAAATGGGGTCTCTGGGGTGTGTTTTTTGAGTTGTCTGAAAAATCATATCATGAGAAGTCGACGCCTTAGTGGGTCCTTGGCTGTCAGGGGGCTCTGGCTATGTTTTTGGCCTGTCTGAAAAAAAAGTACGGAAAAAAAAAAAAATCGTCTGAAGGAAATATTCGTAGCAAACTTTAGGGGTCTGATTTTCTAGATGAAACATTAACACATTCCCGAATTTTTAAGCCAGCAGCTAAAATAGTGACCCCCCAGTGTTTTTTAATTGAACGTGCAGCAGCCAGCGGTAATATTTTTTTAACAAGTATACTAAGTTATTTAACTGTACTACACCCCTAGGCATTCTTACACTCATCTAGTAATGCAGCTAACATCGTCGCTAATGTCAAATGAGCCTTGAGAAGCTCAGCCTTACAATGATGTTTTGTACCGTAGTAGAAAAGTGGGTTGTACTTTAGCGGACCACGGAGTATTGCCAGTTTTGTCAGCCTTGGGGTTTTCGCGTCATTCCCCTGGCCCTGCTTTCTAAGCTCGGCATTTCGTCATTGGCTCCGCGCTATGGCGGCCCGGCGAATCCCCGCTACCGTCGCTGCACTTGCCGCCGCAACTGCCGCTGGATTCGCGTCCGCGATCGCCATTCTCGTCCTCTCGCGGCCGCTCCACTCGCTTCCCGCCATTCTCCATGCCTTCCTCCTCCGCGTCCTGCGCCGCATCTCACGCACCTTCCTCGCTAATTGCGCTGGCTTCAAATTACTCCACAACACGCGATCCGTCCTCTCGTCGTCTATCGAGGCGCCTCCAGTCTCGTCGCTCCCGGTATCGTCTGATCAAAATGCACCGCCCGCGTCTCAATGCCGCCTCAATTTGAACGGCTGCAATACTGACGGCTTCAAGAATCCTCCAGCAACAGATGCGACTGGCCTTGCGATTAACCGTGCGACCCTTGCGACTTGCCAGGAGCAGGGGACGTCGCATAAATGCGACGGGCCAGAATCTGCAACCGGCATCCGTGAGATCCACGAACCTTCGCGGAAGGGCCGCGACGGGCTGGTGGCGGCGATCGGCAACACGCCGCTGATCCGCATCGCGAGTCTGTCCGCTGCGACGGGCTGCGAGATCTACGGCAAGGCGGAGTTCGTCAACCCAGGAGGGAGCGTCAAAGACCGCGTGGCTCTACGGATCGTGCAGGAGGTGCGTGGGGTGCATGGGGTGCATGGGTAGGGTGAACGGGCGCGGAGAATGGGTGTGAAGCATTGAGGGCTGCGAGATCTACGGCAAGGCGGAGTTCGTCAACCCAGGAGGGAGCGTCAAAGACCGCGTGGCTCTACGGATCGTGCAGGAGGTGCGTGGGGTGCATGGGGTGCATGGGTAGGGTGAACGGGCGCGGAGAATGGGTGTGAAGCATTGAGGGCTGCGAGATCTACGGCAAGGCGGAGTTCGTCAACCCAGGAGGGAGCGTCAAAGACCGCGTGGCTCTACGGATCGTGCAGGAGGTGCGTGGGGTGCATGGGGTGCATGGGTAGGGTGAACGGGCGCGGAGAATGGGTGTGAAGCATTGAGGGCTGCGAGATCTACGGCAAGGCGGAGTTCGTCAACCCAGGAGGGGGCGTTAAGGACCGCATGGCGTTTACAAATTGTGCACGAGGTAAGCAGGAGGTAAGCAGGAGGTTAGCAGGAGGAGGTAATGATCTAAAACCTCTCGGAACCGAACCATTCAGAGTTACTTGAAACTACTTAGGATCGTCTCTCCTCCAATATTCCCCTCCTCAACCTTGCTTTTCTCCCCTTCACTCGCCAGACTCTCGAGTGTTTTGAGACGTCTCAGAACTTGTTCTTCTTCTTCCCTTAACTCGCCAGACTCTCGAGTGTTTTGAGACGTCTCAGAACTTGTTCTTCTTCTTCCCTTAACTCGCCAGACTCTCGAGTGTTTTGAGACATCTCAGAACTTGTTCTTCTTCTTCCCTTAACTCGCCAGACTCTCGAGTGTTTTGAGACATCTCAGAACTTGTTCTTCTTCTTCCCTTAACTCGCCAGATTCTCGAGTGTGTCCTCCCCGTCCTCCTCATTTGCCCCCCTCCCTCTTGCAACACCACCTCTTCTTCTCCTCTTTCACTCCTCAGAACCTAGAGACCGGGAACCTTCACCCCTTTTGGTTCCTTCCCTTCCCCCCCCCCCCCCCCCCCAACGTCTTCTTCCCCATTTGCCCCTCTTCCTCCTGGTGACATCTGCTGTTTTCAACCTTTTCAACCTTTTCAACCTTTTCATTCACCTGTCAGGCGCTCGAGTCCGGGCAGCTGAAACCAGGAGGGCTGATAACGGAGGGCAGTGCGGGCAGCACAGGTGTCGCGCTCGCATTGGTCGCCGCGGCGTTTGGCTGCCGCTGCTTCGTGGCCATGCCGGACGATGCTGCTGTGGAGAAGGCCGAGGCAATGAGGGCATTGGGCGCCGAGGTGAGTGCTCTTTCTCCACACATGAAGGGTTTGAGGATTGCTTGTGCTGACCTGCAGTGCAGGTGCATGTATACAACTATCCGGCTGCTGCTTCGTGGCCGTACCGGGCGATGCTGCTGTGGAGAAGGCCGAGGCAATGAGAGCATTGGGCGCCGAGGTGAGCGCTTTCCTCCTCCTAAAGATTCAAGTCCAGGGGGATGGGTTTGGGGTATGGGTATGGGGTTTAGCCTGGGTTGGGCGGTGCTGTCCTGTAATGCAGGTTTGTGAACGTTGCAAAGCGGAGAGGTGGTGAGGAGGTGGACCCACTCATCGCACTGGAGACTCAAACGATGTTTTCGTGCTCTCTCCTCCCTCTCTCCCAGGTGGTGCGCGTTCGCCCAGTGTCCATCACCCATCCGATGCACTTTGTGAACGTTGCACAGCGACGAGCCGAGGAGGAGAGGGAGGGAGGAGAGGCAAGGAGGAGAGCGGAGGAGGATGAGAAAGGGATGAGACGAGGAGAGGAAGGGGAGATGGATAAACGGCAAGGGGTGGCAGTGGGGGAAGAGGATGCGGCAGTGGGAGAAGAGGATGCGGCAGAGTGGAGAGGAGGCGAGGATGGGGGCTTGAAGAGGGGCGGGACGACAGGAGGAGAGAATGTGACGAGTGAGAGCAGTTGTAGGTATTCTTGCTGCTGCCTTCCTTTCCCCCGCCCCGCACACACCTACACACACCTACAGATACCTACACACACCTACACACACCTAGAGATACTTACAGATGCCTACAGGACCTTTTGAGACGTCTGAAAAGCTTTTCCCCCGCCCCACACACACCTACACACACCTAAACACACCTACACTCACCTACACACACCTACACACACCTACACACACCTAAACACACCTACACACACCTACACACACCTATACACACCTACAGATACTTACAGATGCCTTCAAAACCTCTCATGCTTGTCTTGTCTACTTGTTGCAATATCCATCACCATCACTCAGTCGAAGCAACGGGTAGACTTGTTCGCCCTCCTCCCCTTTCCCGCCTCCCTTTGTCCCCCCCTCCTTCAACCCGTCACCCATCAACAGACTCAGAGGCGCCAGTGATGCTGCCAGCAGGGAGGCGCCATCAACAGACTGCCACTGCTGGCAGCATCCTGTCACTGCTGCTGGCGCCAGTGATGCTGCCAGCAGCAGTGGTAGCGGCAGAGGCAGCAATAACGGCCGCAGTGGCAGCGGCAGAGACACGCACAGCACGTGCTGCAATGGCAGCATGGGCAGAGCTGTCGCCAACACCTCTTCCTGTAGCTGCAGCACCAGCATGAATGGCAGCTGCTGCTGTTTGAAGTCAAATTCTGCCTGCACAGCGGATACCAGCAGTGGCTCCTCTGTTGACCGTTTTGACTCCGTGGCCAATCATGCTGTGCCATGTGGCAGCAGCAGCAGCAGCAGCAGCGGCGGCGGCGGCGGCGGCGGCGGGGGCGGCAGTGGTTTCTTTGCGGATCAGTTTGAGAACCTGGCCAACTACCGAGCGCACTACTGCGGCACGGGGCCTGAGATCTGGAGGCAGACGGGCGGTGCAGTGGATGCTTTTCTTGCTGCTGCTGGCACTGGGGGGACCATCGCTGGGATTTCGTGCTATCTCAAGGTGTGTGCCTGTGTGTGCCTGTGAGTGCTTCTGTGTGCCTGTGAGTGCTTCTGTGTGCCTGTGAGTGCTTCTGTGTGCCTGTGAGTGGCTGTGAGTTTAAGAATCTGGCCAACTTTCGAGCGCACTACTATGGCACGGGGCCTGAGATCTGGGGCAGACTGGCGGTGCAGTGGTGCGTTTGTTGCCGCTGCTGGCACAGGGGGGACCATCGTTGGGGTCTCATGTTACCTTAAGGTGAGTGCCTGTGAGTAGTTGTGAATGGTTGTGAGGTGTTGTGATTTGATTGGTATTGAGTGGGAGTACTTTTGAGAATTCTCACTTTTGAGAATCGCTTTTGAGAATTCTCAAATGTGATTTGATTGGTATTGAGTGGGAGTCCTTGCTTGCTCATGTGGTTGCTGCTGGTATGGGGGACCATCGCCGGTGTCTCATGCTACTTCAAGGTGCGTGGTGGTTGTGAGTGGTTGTGAGATGGACCGGAGGAGGGAAAGTGAGAGTGCTTGATAGTGAGTGGAGTGGCTGTGAGTGGTTGTTAGTCGTTGTGAGCGGCTGTGAGTGGTTTTGAGTGACACTCGGCAAGAGGCAGAGGCCCAGAGGGGAGTGCGGTTGCCAGACCAAGAAAGGCTGACTCTCTGCCTCCTCGCCTACTCCCCAATCTGTTGCTACTGCATCGCAGGAGCAAAATCCTGCAGTGAAGGTCTACTTGATCGACCCACCAGGGTTGAGCCTCTTCCACAAGGTGACCCGCGGAGTGCTGTACACTCGGCAGGAGGCGGCTGCGCAACCCATGTGACGCACCTTTTTTTGTCGTGCTTCGTCTTACACCCACCCACCCACTGCAGGAGCAGAATCCGGCTGTGAAGGTCTACTTGATCGATCCACCAGGGTCGAGTCTGGGTGTATTTTGAGTCGACTCAAAATACATCTGTTACGTTCCCCTGCTTCACCCACTGCAGGAGCAGAATCCGGCCGTGAAGGTCTATTTGATCGGCCCTCCAGGCTCCAGTCTCTTTCACAAGGTGACACGCGGAGTGCTGTACACTCGGCAGGAGGCGGAGAGGGGAAAGCCAGGCTACGGAATACTGACCCCTTGCCTCCTCTCTTGCTCCTGCTCCTGCTGCCATGCAGGAGCAAAATCCTTAAGTGCAAGTCTACTTGTTTGACCCTCTCGGGTCGAGTCTGTTCCACAAGGTGACGGCAGGAGGCGGAGGGGAAAGCGGCTGCGCAACCCATGTGACACGGCCTTTCCTGTTATGTTCCGTTCCATGCTTCACCCACTGCAGGAGCAAAATCCTGCAGTGAAGGTCTACTTGATCGACCCTCCAGGCTCCAGTCTCTTTCACAAGGTGACACGCGGAGTGCTGTACACTCGGCAGGAGGCGGAGGGGAAGAGGCTGCGCAACCCCTTTGATACGATCACTGAGGGCATTGGTATCAACCGGCTGACGGCTAATTTCAATGCTGCACGGATCGATGGGGCGTTCAGAGGGACGGATAGAGAGGCCGTTGAGATGGCGCGGTGAGTGTGTGTGCTTGCATGCGCCTGTGTATCACAGAGGATCGAGGATCGATGGGGCGTTCAGAGGGACGGATAGAGAGGCCGTTGAGATGGCGCAGTGGGTGAGTGTGTGTGTGTGAGGTACGGATTGTGCGCGCGCGTGTGTGTGGCTGTGCAACCCGTTTGACACGATCACAGAGGGCATTGGCATCGACTGGCTGACAGCTAACTTCAATGCCGCGAAGATTGACGGGGCGTTCAGAGGGACGTTTAGAGGGAACTGTGTGCCTGTCTGGCTGTGCAACCCGTTTGACACGATCACAGAGGGCATTGGCATCAACCGGCTGACAGCTGATTTCAATGCTGCCTAGATTGACGGTGCTTTCAGAGGAAAGGGTAGAGAGGCCAATGAGATGGCGCGGTGAGTGTTTGTTTCCGGGGTTTGTGAGTGTGTGGGGAGAGAGGGGGGCGGGGGGAGGGAGGAGAGAGAGGGGGGATGAAGAGGAGGGGGTGTGAGAGGGACGGATTGCGAGCGTGTGGCTGTACACACCTGTTTGACACGATAACAGAGGGCATCAGTATCAACCGGCTGACGACTAATTTCAATGCTGCAAAGATTGATGGCGCTTTCAGAGGGACGGATAGGGAGGCTGTTGAGATGGCGCGGTGAGTGAGTGTCCTTGCGTGTGCCTGTGTGTCTGTCTGTGTGTGCCCGTGATGTGCAACCCCTGTTACACGATGACAGAGGGCATTGGCAGCAACCGACTGTCTGTCGGTTGACTGCTAATTCTGAATGCTGCGGGGACTGATGGGGCGTTCAGAGGGATGGATAGCGAGGCTGTTGAGATGGCCCGGTGTGTGCGATTGGTTGTGTGTGGGTATGTGTGTGAGTGTGAGTGAGAATGTGGGTGTGTGTGAGTGTGAGTGAGTGCAGAGTGTGTGTGAGTGTGAGTGAGTATGAGTGAGTGTGAGTGTGGGTGTGTGGGCGCTGTGAGGGTGGCAGAAAAGCTTTCTCTCAGTCACGCCTCCTTGCATCCCCCTTTCCCTCAGCTGTCTGCTGCGCAGCGATGGGCTCTTCTTCGGCTGCTCCTCTTCTTCGGCTCCTCCTCTTCTTCGGCTCCTCCTCTTCTTCGGCTCCTCCTCTTCTTCGGCTCCTCCTCTTCTTCGGCTCCTCCTCTTCTTCGGCTCCTCCTCTTCTTCGGCTCCTCCTCTTCTTCGGCTCCTCCTCTTCTTCGGCTCCTCCTCTTCTTCGGCTCCTCCTCTTCCTCGGCTCCTCCTCTTCTTCGGCTCCTCCTCTTCTTCGGCTCCTCCTCTTCTTCGGCTCCTCCTCTTCTTCGGCTCCTCCTCTTCTTCGGCTCCTCCTCTTCTTCGGCTCCTCCTCTTCTTCGGCTCCTCCTCTTCTTCGGCTCCTCCTCTTCTTCGGCTCCTCCTCTTCTTCGGCTCCTCCTCTTCTTCGGCTCCTCCTCTTCTTCGGCTCCTTCTTCGGCTCCTCCTCTTCTTCGGCTCCTCCTCTTCTTCGGCTCCTCCTCTTCTTCGGCTCCTCCTCTTCTTCGGCTCCTCCTCTTCTTCGGCTCCTCCTCTTCTTCGGCTCCTCCTCTTCTTCGGCTCCTCCTCTTCTTTGGCTCCTCCTCTTCTTCGGCTCCTCCTCTTCTTCGGCTCCTCCTCTTCTTCGGCTCCTCCTCTTCTTCGGCTCCTCCTCTTCTTCGGCTCCTCCTCTTCTTCGGCTCCTCCTCTTCTTCGGCTCCTCCTCTTCTTCGGCTCGTCCTCTTCTTCGGCTCCTCCTCTTCTTCGGCTCCTCCTCTTCTTCGGCTCCTCCTCTTCTTCGGCTCCTCCTCTTCTTCGGCTCCTCCTCTGCCATGAACTGTGTGGGCGCTGTGCGGTGCAAGCGGCATCCCTTTCTAAAACACACTCCCGTGCGTCCCCCCCTCCCTCTCTCCTCTTTTTCCCCTCAGCTTCCTGCTGCGCAGCGACGGGCTCTTCATCGGGTCCTCCTCTGCAATGAACTGTGTGGGTGCCGTGCGGGTAGCTGAACAGCTGGGCCCCGGGCACACCATCGTGACCATTCTGTGCGACAGTGGCTTCCGGCACCTCAGCAAGTTCCATAATGAGGGGTATTTGAGAAGCCAGGGGCTGCTCCCCTCTGCGACAGGGCTTGAGTTTCTGGGTGGGAGGTTTGCGGAGCAGGGGTGATGGTGGTACAGAGCAGGGGTGATGGTGGTACAGAGCAGGGGTGATGGTGGTACAGAGCAGGGCACTACGTCTGCTATTGTGTCCATGCTGTGTGACAGTAGGATTAGTGAGTGCCACAACGGGGCAAATGTAACTACTTTGTGTCCATGCTGCCTCACTGCAAATGTAACCACTTTAGTAGGCACCACTTCTCCAATCAAGTACGGTAGTGTAGCATTGGAATATACCCAACAGATGTCTACACCCACATGCACAGATACAAGTACACCTACACACACAAGACATGCCCAGATCCATATGCATCTCTACCTCCAGCTTTGGCATGTTACCAACAGACACCCACCCGTACCCACATGGACTCGTACACACAAGACATGGCTGCCAGAGTCTAAAGTTTAGACTCTAAACCACCACATTTCACTTGCACCCAAGTCCTCCTTATCTTATCCCACCTTTTTCACAACCTTCCCACAGAGCGCGTTGTTAATGCTCCCGACGCGTCCTATTATTATATACGCTGCACCTCCCATGTTACCCGTGCTTGCACGAACGGCAGCCGCTGAGTCTCGGGTATCTTCTTGATGATTTCGAAAGCTGTAACGCTTGCGGCGAGAATCGGGTCTTGTAATGTTTAGAAAATAGGTCGGGTCCGAGGCAGCTGTTACGGAGCAAGAATCCTTGTAATCAACAATGATGGGGGCTTTTCCGCCCTTGAGGTTCAACAGAAGTATCTGAGTGATCACGCTGTACGACGTTGGAGAGTACCTGTTACCGGGGGGAAAGCGGAGATATTAATAATCAGAGAGCATCGTCAGTGAGTGTACTGCGTAGGCGCTCTCTTGGAAAAGTACTGCCTTGCTGCCTTTGACTCGGTGCATGCAATGCAAGTGCTTGAAGACCACGAAGAGCAGTCCTTGCGGACGCCTTTTGAGAAAAAACAAAACAAAAAAAAAAGGACTCAAGAATCCATGCAGATGTTTCAAAAAAAGGGATGAGCCCCAACTACCGTAGAACTCGCGAGTCTCTCAATCAAAGGTGATTTTGATTCCACGTATTTTACACCAAGTATTGGTGCGAGTGGAACAAGTGAACGAGGGGACAGCAGCTCACCACCTTCATCATCATTTTCCCCGAAGCTCCTGCGTCGCCGACAATTTTCCCGTTGACCTTGGTAGGACGCAGTTTGGCCACGTATTTCACTGGCAACGGGAACGGAGGGATCGGGACGACAAAAAGGTTGGTAGATGCTGATTATCAGCTGACATCATCATCATTTGAAACGGGAATGCAAGGGCAGGGAAGGAAGAGATCGGTAAGGACACTTACAGATTGTCTTTCCCTTATAAACCAGGGGCCTGGCCTGAGCGGCAGAAGCAGTAGAAGCGGCAGAAGCGGCAGAAGAACCGCCGGGGTGAGAAAGGAGCGGCGCGAGCAATGATGTCGCGGACGCGCCGTAAGCAGTGCAGACCGTCGCACCTGCAAAGGAGACAGGCAGTAAGGCAGGCAGGCAGTAAGGCAGGCAGGCAGTAAGGCAGGCAGGCAGTAAGATCTGAGGCAGGCAGGCAGGCAGCACGATTTGAGGCGTGATCATCACGACATGTGGGGCACGAAACCTACAACGACGTGACGGAACAGGCTCTAATCCGGCGACCTGCGATAGAAAGAAGTGTTTTGAGACGTCTCAAAACACTTCTTTTAGTATCACGTGCGCAACGACGTGGCGATCATCATTCGGTCTCAGAGGCAGATGATATAGAAAACAGCAGACAGTGACAGTGTCCATCACGCGAAATTGACGCCTGCAGTGCAGCAGCGCGGCACTCAGAACTGACTCGTCGACTCAAAAATCGCAGCAGCAGCAGCAGCAGCAGCAGCAGCAGGGCTTACAGAGCAGCAGGCGGCAGGGGAGAGACAACGCGCGGCGCTCCATGATGCTGCTGCTGAACTCAAATGATGATGCTGATCTCAAATGCAGTAGTCAGCTAGAGTTTCGACAGAACCGCTAATGAGGAACCATGAGGTTCGTGGTCGCATTTTGTAGTGTCTATTGGATTGCCGAGTGCCTAGAATCGGCCTGCGTGCGCGAATGTAAACCCTGCGCCGCACAAGGGAGTGACACGTAGGCCGATTGTAGTACCCCGCTTTGACCACTCCGCGAGCGACACCTAGCATCTTCCGTATCGAGTCGATACCCAGTGAAGATAAGCCGTCAAGACACTACAGTCTAATAACAGTTTGTGCAAGGACATATCGCTGCGCCCTTCCATGGCAGCGACTCGCTGAGATTGTCGGAAGCTGAGGCTAGCTTGCGCGCACCGCACGCCGTGCGGGCCATACGAACAACATCACAGAAATTGGAGGTCCGAAACGCCCCCGAGAGAGGTCCATTACGGGTCCTGAATGGGTCCGTTGAGGACCCAACAAAATGATGCGATTCAGATTCCAATTAGTGCTCCTCGCGGATGCCTCTGGGGATGCCTTGGGGAGTCCGAAATGGGTCCGGAAAGAACCCGATAGGACCTGTGTCGGAGGGAGTCGTGCTTTAAGCTTGTAACACTAACGCCCAGAATAACAGTGTTACCAGATGTAGTTACAAACTACACCTGACAAACACTATATCGCATTACGGCACGCTTACGTTTGCGGAAAATGTAACAGTTACACAGTAACACGGATAAACCTGTAACCGCAGTACTTGGTTACGATAGCTACCGACATAACACGGTAACCAGATGCGCGCGGTTACATAGCGCACCCACGTGGCACCCAGCGCCATGAGCGCTGGTTCCCCTAACTTGTAGGAAGGGAAATGCTCACAATATTGACCTGGTGCATGGTAGGCCCATCACACAAAGACGAGACACCAAAATACACTACGGAGAGCAGCATGCAGCGCTTATGTTATGCGCTTTTGGAAACGAAACAGTAAGAACTTCGTCAAAATCTCCCCAGAGCTAATGAGAAACCCCACTACCCCTACACGGCTCCAATGTCCCCTGCCACGCCCTTGCGGCACGGGGCTGAGTGCCCAATCCCGGGTAAACCACCCGCATAATCTAGTCCACTGTTAGCAGGGTTGGTCTGCACCCTCAGGTGCTCGAAGCCGCTCTCGGAGATCAGCAGCCCATGCTCACCCCACACAAAGCCGCCGTACTCGTCGGACCATGGGTGGTGGTCCTCACGGAGGCCTGCCTCCACGACCTCCCAGACACGGCCATGCAGGCTCTTCATCCACGACGCGTTCGTGGCATAGGAGTTGGATAGCGCCATGCTGGCGCAGTTAGTGTTGTGCAGGCCATAGTCCACCTGCATCCACACATGGTACAGTTGCGTGGAGACGTCATCAAGTGGGAGCCATACCCGACACATGGGGCCCTTGGAATCTCGGGAACAACACTCACCGCGAAGAGCACCCACGCCAGGTGGTATGGCTTTAGAACTAGGCGGCCGCGCCTCACCCACTTCGGGAAGGCTGCGACCGCCGCGTCGAAGAAGATGAGGTTCATGAACGGCTCGGAGCCGCCTTCCTCGTGCGACCAGCTGCTGACTCTCTGTCCAAGCCTTTTCTCTGCCATGGAAGACAAGCACACGTATGCCAGAAAGGTAAGTTCCTGCGTTGACACGAACTCACACCGTCATCATCCCCATTGACGCTATAAGTGGCCACGGTTTTCGACCTGCTACTTACTTGGTGCGTAGTGAGCCCACAGTGCCTTCTTACACTCGGGCTTCACCTCCATCTGTGCGGTGAGAGGCCCCGCCACATCAACGCCCAGCTTCGTCAGCGTGCTGCGCTTTGAGCCGGTGGTTGACTCGTTCTTCCAGTGCGTCCAGGCGCGTTTCATGCGCCCACTGTAGTCGAGGTGAGTCAGAGCGTCCGCCAGCTCCAGATCGGTGACGTCATACTCCTCCTGCAGCACTGCTAGCGTCTCCTCCTGCTTCTCTGCATTGGTCGGGTAGAACGTGACATCCCTGGCCGGAGCATAGCGGGCGATACGGTCACGGGCCTCCGCGAAAATGACCTGGAACATGGACGAGGGTGGAAGGCGAGGAGAGGATAGAGGGGGGTTCGTGGGGGGATGGGCGGATGACGCCATCAGACTTTGTGAGGATATGTGCAGGCGGGCCTGTGACGCACGCATTTACAAACCAGTCGACAGACTCACATTGCACTTGTGCGGAGGCGGCATTCCGCGCTTGCGTGTGGTAGAGCGCTTGCGTGTGGTAGAGCGCTTGCGCTCTCGCTGCTTCGCATGCTCCGCATCCGGCGATAAGTAGGGGGCGGTCTCCGGCCGTGGCTGATCATTGCCGTTGGCCGGTGAGCTGGTGCGGGCAGGCGCGCCGTTCGATGCCGTTGCGCGTTGTGCCGGGAATTGGCGCGGTGTGAGCGGGCGGTCCGACGCCTGCGATGCTGTGAACGGGGGACTCTGAGGAATGGAGTGCGCCGCCGTGCCCGTAACCGGCTCATATCCAACGTTTCGTTCGTTGGACGTTCGCATCGCCTCCATCACGCGCTGCGTGTTCGCGAGGACGTCCATCATCATCTTCATCAAAGCGGTGTTATCACCGCCCGCCACGTTCGGCGCTGCATCGTTGACCGGGGTGTGAGGAGATGACTCGACCGCCACCTTGCTGGTTTTGGGGGGGGGGAAGTCAGGATTGAGTGTGGCCGCCCCCTGGCCTGCCTCCCCAGCCACATGCGCCTGAAAGTCGGCGCAGTCCGCCGCGTCTCCAGGTGCACTGGAGTGCACTTCCAGTCCGCATGTGGGTTGCTGAGCTGAAACCCCCCCGCCCGTAGTCACGGGCATCCCGCCAACCTGCTTGTGGGGGGCATCACCGTGAGCACCCTCCTTACCATGGCGGCCCATGGCCGGACCAGCAGCAACTCCGCTCACTTGCTCATCGTCACCGTCCCACGGGTCCTTGTGAACGAGCGGGTGCGGCTTACTTCCGCCCGACCCTCCGCCACTGCCCAACTTCACATTGTCGTAGCCCTGCATCTCTTTCACTGCCTTGCCGGGTGTTCCAGAGACGGCACTGCCTGGGACCCCACGTGCCAACAACTTCTGGGAAGGCGAGGGTGTAGCAGGGCGTCCGCCCGGCGCAAGCGGCGTAGCTGGCGAGCCACGAGAGTGTGTAGCCGAGGCGATGGGCTGTGCCACCTGATCATCGTCGTCGTAACCGTCCATGTCCTCGTCGCACGAGTCGCAGTCGCTCGCTTCGCTCGGTAAAAACTCGGAGCCCTCGTCCGACTCGTCAGCGTCCGCCTGGCTATCCTCTGCTTTAAGAGAGCAGGTTGGTTCGACCACCTCTGCAGGTACCTGCGGTACTGCCGCTTCTGCACACAATGACATGGACACAGCACCCATCAGATTGGCACGGCGATATTATGACACGGACAACGTTCACCAAACGACATGGCCGAGCGCGTGCAGTCAAGTACAAAAACGGCTTACGAGTTTCCTCGACAGTCGGCGCTACAGCAAGCGGAGATAGCGCCTTCTTCCGAGCCGGGGCTTTCCCTTTCCCGCGGCGGATAGCAGTCTCCAAACTGATGCCGTATGGGGCGTCTGACGGTTCACGCGGAGGGTCGCATGCGCGACGGAGCGAATCGAGCACCGGCTGGTGCGATTGGCCAGTGGGGTGTTTCTCTCTGTACAGCCCCACTAGTTCCCTTGTCAGGCGAAATGCCTCAGTCCATACCTTCTTGGCAGAGGAGAGCGCACGGCCGTGCGGCTGAAGGATGTGATCGGCGTATTTGGTGGGTAAAGCGGCCTGTCTCGAGGAAGGTGGGCGTCTAGAAGACATTTTTAAGAGCTAACCTGGGATGCCCTTTATTTCCTCGGTGACAGCCATACACCTATTTCAGCAACAATCTCTATCTCGCCTCGCTGCAAACAGCCAGCCTCCTGAGTTTTCTCAACCTGCTAGGGTTTCAGAACTTCAGGAAGCACACCTCAACCCACGCCGTTGATAGTGTTTGCCGTGCTCAGTGGTAAGGCACACGATGCACCGGTACTCAAACCACCCAACTCCAGCGATGCTGCACCGGCTCGCACTTGGTTAGACGTACAGTTGGCACTGTTCAGGATGACGACGCGCACTCTCGTTATGAGACCACCTAGGTTTGGTTCGCGAAGTGCAGGTTGAGCGGACGTGGTGTGAGCGACACGAAGCTGTAAACCTACATTATCACATTTACTGGTTATAACAATAAAAGAACACTTAAATTTTACGCGTTAAAATGTATCAAAGGGAAAAACCATGAACCGGCATCAACCGAGCCGCATCCACGTGCGTCCCCACGCCCTGTAACTTCTGCAAACACCCCCACACGAGCCAATCCTCCTCCCCAGATCTATCACACGCAGCCACTCCACTGTGGCCAAAGTCTCATAGCAGACTAACAATTGTCGGAGTCGTTGCAACTCCAGGTAACGCCATGGCGTCCGAAGACTATGACGCACCATCGCACGACGATGGTATCAATGTTGTCAATAAGCCAACCGCCAACGCCTTTTATCACTTAACGATGCCGTACGCGTTTGGCACTGGACACTTGACGGTCACAAAGGACGTTGCAAACACGCTCAACCGGGGACGTTGGATTCATGGTGACATCATAGAGTGGTTTGGACTGTAAGAGCCGACTTCGACTTCGCCACGTTAACGCGCTCGGTGTTATATGCCGCGCTATTATGACTCACACAAGACCACCGTGAAGCGGCCGGCTCGCGGTGGCAACTGGAGAAACGCCACTGAACGCATCGTGCAGAAGCATGTGCAGATTGCAGCCGCCAAGGAGCTGGCAAGGGAGAGTGGCGATGATCACGTCTACGTCACCGCCATGCATCAGGTGAGCCATAAGGGGGAATATGCTCTTCGAAGCTGCAAAATGCAGGCGCGAGCCAGGGGTGTAGTTTGAGCTGGGGAGTGTCGCCCGGGTGGGATGCATGGTCTACACCTGCACATCTTAAACTCTCTTCGGTGTATAGCCATTAGGCATGTACACTCCACCGTGTCTTGTCCGAATAGTACAGCTAACACCCTCCCCCCCCAACCCCCCCTCCACGTCCTGCCCACCCCCTCCCTTGCCGCTCGTGTCTTGTGTGTGTGCACTATCAGGCAACGGAGGGCAACCGGCGCGTCCTCACTCGCACTAGCCGGAGGCTCCTCGTCGGGGACTCTGCGGACAGGTGCTACTCTGAGTATAGGGCGCACATTGGGGATGTGGCGCTTGCCGCGCTGCCTGCTGCTATGAGGGCGGCGCGTATCCCCACGCGCACCCTCTACTGTCAGAATCCCAGTCACTAACCACTGGGATAAAAGGGCTTGTTTATATAGCGGGTGAGTGCGCCCATAACCCCCCAGGCCGACGTGCCTGTAACCCTTCCCTAGGATCATCGGGGATCCCCAGTGGACCTCTGACACCCCCCCGCACTGGGATGCCCGAAGTGCACACACCGGGAATCGAACCCGAGACCTTCGCTCTGATACTATGTCAGAATCCCAGTCACTAACCACTGGGATAAAAGGGCTTGTTTATATAGCGGGTGAGTGCGCCCATAACCCCCCAGGCCGACGTGCCTGTAACCCTTCCCTAGGATCATCGGGGATCCCCAGTGGACCTCTGACATCTACGTGTGTAAAACCGCACGCCATGCACGTCAATGTTTTGATTGCCTTGTTATGTGCACGCCCATACATCGCAAGACGATGCGCTGACCGTCTGCATCACGCTCAAACCGCCACCCTCAACTGCTGTACGCATTGTCCCTGCAGACGCACACGGCGCTGGTGATCCCGCCACACGACCGCATGGAGTGGACCTCGCGGGGGCAGTTCGTGAAAGCCACCCCCGCTCAGCCGCTGTTCTCCCACATCGCCATCAGTGCGAGGCGCACTGTGTGGTATGGGCAGTGCCTCCTGCTCTTCCACTTCAAGGACAGCGCGGGCGTTGCGCACGAGCGCGCCTTTGTGAGGTACTACGACGAGGACGATGAGGTGTGCCCGGCCACGGGCTGCAAGAGGCTCTCCCCAACTTTGGGCAGAGATGCTTTCTCTGTGATTGAGCTGGACTCCATTCTCTCACTTGCCCACATCGTGCGGTCCTGCACGGACCCGCGCTTTTTCCTGGTGAACCGCTTTATTTTTTAGGCGCAGTGCTGCCTGTGCCAATAGGGGGGGATGCACTACCAAGCACCCTTTTAATAATCTGTAGTGTGAGCAGGCAGGTAGTTGGTAGGACTTGTAATTGCGGTGTTATGCAATAATAAGCCTGCTGAATGGGTTGGAATTACAACTAGGAGTCATGCTTTGCATCAATTGCATTCTCGAATCTGTTTGAAAAGGGTACAGGAAGTACGGGTCCCAAAGGGGCCCCAAAGTGCAAACTAGGTGCCGGGTCCGGTTGGATCATTTCTTGACAGGTGAATCCTGCTTTGGGGGACGGATGGGGTCCTTTTAGTCTCATACCGGACACTTTTCGGATCCGGACCGAAGTTGGACCGATTTCTGATCTTTCAATTTCCGCCTTGAAGGCGACCAACATGCAGCTGGCGGCACAAACGGCCGCTGATCCTTCAACACTAAGCTGCAGCTGCACGTGACGCTGGTCAAGCGTATACAGTTGATGGCTGTTTGAGCCCCTCCCGGTTGCCTTGTGAAGGGGGCGTATAAGCTGTCACGAGCAGTTCGCATAAGTTTCGTCAATTCGCAGCTAGCTAAAAAGGATTCGCAGGTGCTTATATACAAAATCTATTACCTTATCCGTTGACATTTTGACTTCAGTCTCTTCTGCTTGACTTCGGTCTGTTCGTTACTATTGGTTGATAACCACGCGACGCGCTTGTAACGTGGTAGCAACAGGCTTGGGAAACAACCTCGGGTGCAGCGTATCCATCCGGCGCAAGGCAAATTCGCGTGCACTGGTTGGGCATCATGTGTACAGTAATTCATCAGAAAAATGTAGAACTGCCGAGTATTGGGGTGGGAGGGGAAGGGGTCCGTTTTTTAGTTGGGAGGCTGGTCGTTTTCGATAGTTTATGAGGTGAAATTTGCACTACCCTGCTTCTCGGCAGTATACCATCGCTTGCGCTGGGTTTATTGGGAAAATATGTCAATGGTAACTTTTATGGGACACTATAACGCGCACGGTAACCGTACGATACCAAACGCGTTAAAACAACATGTAATTGTTACCGTACGCGTTATAGTGCCCCATATAAGTTACCATTGACATATTTTCCCGGGTTTATTCATGCAGATTGTCAAGAGCCTTTTTTTTTTTCTTCCTTGGCTGGCTCTGCACCAGGTCCTACGATATCATGAAATTTTCCCTGAAATTCCTGATTTCCAGGGTTTTTTTTTAGCTACCCTGATTTTCCAGTGTTCAGCTTTTTGTGGGCCGGATTTTTCAGCCTTTACCTAGCACATGACTCTGAAATTACAGGAATTTTTTCTGAGTGACACTGATGCCACTACGTTGTAACGAATCCAACCCTGAAAGCGATTCCTACACGGTCCGAGTGTAGTTGCCCGGCTGTACAGGGAATATCAGATTCCCGCGGTGTCAGCAGGGCGTGGCGGTGAGTAGCAGACAATTTTGCCCTCGAAGAGGGATCCATTGTTGGCGCGCGTGGTGCGATGATTGGCCACTTTGACAGCATTTCCTGATTTGGCCAATTACTGGGTTGCAGCACAGCGATGCTGCCAGGCAGCGCAATGAGGGATTCATGCCCATGTGATGCACCTGTGGTCCTGTGGCCCGTTTTGTCGAAGTCGTGCTGGCAAGTACGGATGCATCTACGCCGCCCAGCTGTGCTACCAGCCATCCAGTCTCCCACCCCCAGTCTGCTCCATGCTTTCCTTCCATCTAGCAAGGGTAAGGTTTCAACGTGTTGCTGCCTGGTGTACTAGGAGGCAGTCAGCCGTCTGTTCTCTCTTCCTGGCAAACCTCCGTTATGCTAGCTTGGTAGTCCCGTTAGATGCTGCTCGTTCGCGCTACAGCCAATGGCGGACCACCCGGACGCCATTGAACGACCTGATAACCATGACGATGAAACCGCTCGTCGTTCGCCAATTGATCTGTCCGCGGCAGTTACCGGACTGGATCTGCTATTTTCCAACTTAGCGGCAGTAGATAACCATGGAAAGGCGCCTGCAGTCGCGCCGACCGTCGATATCCCATTTGAACACATCGACGAGCCTCTGTGTCCCTCCCCTACTGCGCCCGTGGTGGAGCAAGACAGCTCCAACCCTTCAGGTGAAGAAATCGCGGCGGTGCAAGTGGCTAAGAAGTCCGCCAGATACACGCAGTCAACGCTGCCGTGGGCCAAGAAGGGAAGTCCCGCTGGTGCAACACCGGCTTCGCCAGCCGACCAACGGTCGACGCCCGCGGCAGCAGGCACGCAAGCGTCGCCCTCAACACCTGGGCCTTCTAAACCGGCAGGGCCAGACGCAACTTACGCGGAGGCTTTGTATAAGTACAAAAGCAAGTGGCTCGACCGGTTTTCATGGCTTATTCTGCTAAAAAAAGCTGACGGTTTCCCTGCTTTCAAGTGCAGCATCTGTACGGAGCACGCAGGCTACGCTGGACCGTGCGGGAGAGGTGGAAAGGGCGCCACTGACGTTCAAACGCAGGCGTTCAAACGGCATGCGGCAACTACCAAGCACAAGGAGGCGTTGAAACACCAGCAGAAGCTTCTCGACGATGCCGCCACGCAGCCACGGATCAATAGCGACAATCTCGCTCGCGACACGGAGAAGGAGCGTGTCATCAAGCTCCTCGACTCCCTGCTCTTCGTGACCAGGCAAGATGCACCCATAGAGTTATGGGTGAATCTTGTGCGCTACCTCGCGCGACTCAAGGTGCCAGGCTTCCCTGCAAAAGGTTACGGAACCTATTATACTACGTGAGTGTTAAATTCATCTAAGTGCAACCGTGTTTGTGACGGTCAAGCTGTTTTGATCCCCTGGATCCGCGCTGCTCGTCTCCAGCTCCGCGAGCGGTTCCAGTCGGACTTTCCTGTCTTGCGTCTGCACTCTGACAGAGGTGGTGAGTTCTCCTCCGACCTCTTGCGAGCCTTCTGTGAGGAGCACGGCATCACCCAGTCGTTCACGCTTCCGGCCTCTCCACAGCAGAATGGGGTTGCTGAGCGCCGCATTGGCTTAGTCATGGAGGTCGCTCGTACCTCCATGATCCATGCGGCGGCTCCCCATTTTCTGTGGCCGTTTGCGGTCCAGTACGCCGCGCATCAGCTCAACCTCTGGCCCCGTGTCTCCTTGCCGGAGACCTCGCCCACACTGCTGTGGACGGGGAAGGTTGGCGATGCGTCGCGTTTCCGGGTCTGGGGTGCTCGTGCATTTGTCCGCGATACTACTGCGGACAAGCTCTCCGCTCGCGCCATTCCCTGTGTTTTCCTTGGCTTTGTTCCTGACGCGCCTGGCTGGCAGTTCTACGAGCCCACCTCGCGCCGTGTCTTTGCGTCTCAGGACGTCACCTTTGACGAGTCCGTTCCCTTCTACCGTCTCTTTCCCTACCGTACTTCTCCTCGCACCCCCCCGCCGCTCTTCCTCGCTCCAGGTTCTCCCCAGGTATACCCCCTCCCCGCGCCAGGTCCTGCTCCCTCAGGTGTTTCTCAGGTAGACCCTCCCGTGCCTGCACCTGTTGAGGTCACTGGTGACTCCGGTCCTGCTGGAGGTGGTGCTGTCGGTGGGGGTACTAGGCCTGGGGGTGCGGAGCTTGGGGGTGCTGAGCCTGGGGGTGCGGAGCTTACGCGTGAGGAGACTGAGGGTGCGGGGCCTGGGGGTGCTGAGCTTGGGCGTGAGGAGCCTGGAGGTGCTGCGTCTGGGAGTGCTGAGCCTGCGCGTGAGGAGCCTGGAGGTGCGGAGCCTGGGGGTGCTGTGCCTGCGTGTGAGGAGTCTGGAGGTGCGGAGACTGGAGGTGCGGAGCCTGGACATGCGGAGCCTGGAAGTGCGGAGCCTCCGTGTGAGGGTTCTGGGGGTGCTGAGTCTGGGGGTGCTGAGCCTGGAGGTGCTGGGTCTGAGGGTGCTGAGCCTGCTGGTGTGCGGTCCCCTTGGAGTGGCCGCCTTCGTCCGCGTGTGCCTCTCACCTCCCAGCAGCTGCACGACTGGTACGGTCGCCGTCAGGGTCGCACTACTGGAGCCCGGGGTTCTACTGCTGGAGGTACTTCTGTTGACGTCTCTGGAGCTCGGAGTGGTGCTGGTGCTTTGCCTACTCGAGGTGCTGGAGTAGCCGGTCCCGGAGGTGCTCGTACTGGAGGTACTGGAGCTGCTGGGGCTGGGAGTACTGTGTCTGGGGGTGCCGCTGCTGGGGACACTGCGGCTGGAGACCCTGGGACTGGGGGTGCCGGTTCTGGGGGTGCTGCTGCTGGTGGAGCTGGTCCTGGAGGAGCTGGCGCTGGGGGTGCTGGAGTTTCAGGAGGTGCTGGGGCTACTGGTGCTGCTGGTACTGCACAGCCGCGACTGTTCTTCGCTCCGCCGTCTCCGTCGTCTCAGCCGCCCCCTGACTCTGTGCTTCGCCAGGTTCTTAGTCTTCCGTCTTCTACTGGTCTTCCGTTACTGCCTGGCTCGCCGCTGCCTGCTCCCTCTCCTTACCCTGAGCAGTCAGGGGGCCTTACTGAGCGTCGTGAGCCTGTGTCGCGTCCTGTCTCGCCTGTTCGTCCTAGTAGTTCCACTCGTCGTGTTCCGCGTCCGCCGCCTGTCCCCACCGCACACCTTGTCGTCCGTCGTCCTTCCTCTGTTCCACAGTCTGTTTCTCTGCCGTCTCCTCCTGCGTCTTCCTTGCCTCACGTTCCGGACCCTGCTCTCAACGTGCTGCTCTTCCACCTGCACGGTTCGTGTCAGTGAAATCCCCGAAGTGGTCCTTGAATCAAACTCAAGGGTTGTTCGACGTCCATCTACGGTGACTCAAAAGCTGCCCCCGTGGACGACACGGAAGTGCCTCGTGTGCGTGCTGGCGGTTGCCGCTCTGAACGTGCTGCTCTACAACCTGCACGGTGCGTGTCAGTGAAAATTCGGGCGAATCTTGTATCGCATTTGAGAAGCTGCTCTCAACGTGCTGCTCTTCCACCTTCACGGTTCGTGCGATTGGAAAGCATCATGAATCGTTTCAAGAATTTCTCATTGATTGGTATGCGTGAATCTCATTTAGGAATTCTCACAAGTGACCGAGATATTGCCTCAAGTTTAGCAACTGGTTCAAGTCAGTCAGAGAGTGGAGTGTGCATCACGCAGGAACGAGAGGTGAGGTGATGTTGTCAACGGAACGTTATAGGATATAGCTTCCAGTGCATGATCGTGCGTGCGGTGCTAAACCCTGGAGGGAGGTGGAGTGAGGTGTGGTGACGCGAGGCCACAGATTGAGAATTCCCGCAGTTGGGATCACAAAGGTGAGGTGAAGGTGCTGTTGGTGCCATCTCTTCCATAATGGCCTGCAGCGAAACCTGTTTCTAACGAGTATGTATTTCCTGTGCTAGATCCTCCTCTCCTTCCTCCTTACTTCCCACTCCACGCTGCTCCCGCCTGCAGGAGACAGTATCGAGGCAGCTTCTAGAGGGTTCCGTGCGCTCATACTGGAGAGCAGCGGGCGGAGGGATGTGACAGTGGGGGAAGATGAAGCAAACTGGGAAGGGGAGACAGGCTGGGATGCAGGGGAGGGGGGATTGGGAGGAGGAGAGGGGGGGGGAGAGGCAGAGCCAACAACGGACATCAACATGAAGCGGGTTTACGATGGTATTCAGTTTGCCAACGAGAAGGGGGGGAAGTGGACGCAGGTAAGGGTGGGTGGGAACTGGTGAGGGTTGCAACTGGTGAGGTGAGGGCTGCAACTGGTACTTTTTCTTGATACTTTTTCTTATTTCCTTGATTTTTTTTCTTTCTTTCCGTTTTTGTAATTTCTCTCATTCCACTCATCCTCCTCATCCCACCCCATCTCTTCCTTCATCACCCCATCGCCCATCCCTCAGGGGTGGAAGCTGCAATACGTGGAGGACGAGTGGGCGAGGAGCTGCTGAGAGTGTTTGTAATGCCGCACTCCCCTCCCTTCCCACCCTCCTCACATCCGTTCAACCCCCACATCCTCGCATCCCCACATGTCCATCATCACCCCTCTCCAGGGCTGGAAGCTGCAATACAAGGGGGACGAGTGGGACGGGGAGCCACTGAGGGTGTTTGTGGTGCCGCACTCCCACAACGACCCCGGCTGGCTGCTGACAGTCGAGCAGTACTACGCCAGGAGCTCGCAGCACATCCTGCGCACCATCCTGCGCACCATCCTGCGCACCATCCTGCGCACCATCCTGCGCACCATCCTGCGCACCATCCTGCGCACCATCCTGCGCACCATCCTGCGCACCATCCTGCGCACCATCCTGCGCACCATCCTGCGCACCATCCTGCGCACCATCCTGCGCACCATCCTGCGCACCATCCTGCGCACCATCCTGCGCACCATCCTGCGCACCATCCTGCGCACCATCCTGCGCACCATCCTGCGCACCATCCTGCGCACCATCCTGCACACCATCCTGCGCTCTCTTTCCCAGGTCACTCCTCTCCCTCCCAGGTTACCCCCCTGTTCAGGTACTGGTATTCGAGGTTTTCCAGATGCCTCATATTGTTCTCTCATTGCGACCTTGGTGTCTTAGTACCAACCATACGGACGGGGTCGTTTATCTTCCACAACAAAAAAAAAAAAAAATGTTTTTTTCTGAGACGTCTCAAGTTGACTTCTGAAACGTCTCAAGTTGACTTTTGAGACGTCTCATGTTGACTTATGAGACGTCTCAAGTTGACTTCTGACACGTCTCAAGTTGACTTTTGAGACGTCTCAAAAATTCACTTTTTACACGTACCTTGGTGCCTGGTCGTTTATCTTCCACAACTTTGTGTTTTGGTCCCTTTCCGTTCGTACCCCCACACCAGTCCCCCTCCTGTCGCTTCATCTGGGAGGAGACGCCGTATTTGAGATGCTGGGTGGGTGGATGCCACACAGGAGGAGAGGGAGCCTTCACAGCCCCTAACCTTCGCACCCTAACCCCTTCCCAACCCTTTGCCTGTCCCTCCAGTCCCCTTCTCGCGGCTTCATCTGGGAGGAGACGCCGTATTTGAGCTGCTGGGTGGGTGGATGCCACACAGGAGGAGAGGGAGCCTTCACAGCCCCTAACCTTTGCACCCTAACCCCTTCCCAACCCTTTGCCTGTCCCTCCAGTCCCCTTCTCGCCGCTTCATCTGGGAGGAGACGCCGTATTTGAGCTGCTGGGTGGGTGGATGCCACACAGGAGGAGAGGGAGCCTTCACAGCCCCTAACCTTCGCACCCTAACCCCTTCCCAACCCTTTGCCTGTCCCTCCATTCCCCTTCTCGCCGCTTCATCTGGGAGGAGATGTCGTATCTGAGCCGCTGGTGGATGGATGCCACGGAGGAGGAGAGGCAGGGGATGCGGGCGCTGGTGCAGTCGGGGCAGCTGGAGATTGTGGGGGGCGGGTGGGTGATGAACGACGAGGTGAGCTGTGGAGGAGGGGAAGGGGTTTGGCTGCGAAATTGGTGCGAAGTGGAGAGTCTTACGGTGGGTGGTGTTAGAGAGCTTGAAAACTCGTGCTGTCAAGGCAAGTGGAGATTGTGGGGGGCGGGTGGGTGATGAACGACGAGGTGAGTGGGATTCTGGGGGGAAGCGGGCAGTTGTGTTGCGTGGTTGGTGTGAGTGAAATGGCAGTCAGAGCTTGAAAGAGAGGTTGAGGGCGCTGGTGCAGTGCAGTGAGGACAGGTGGAGATCGACTTTTGAGACGTCTCAAAAGGAGATCGTGGGGGCTGGGTGGGCCATGAATGATGAGGAGAGCTGCGGAGGAGGGGAAGGGGCTTGGTGGAAGAGGTCGGGAAGCTGTGAGATGGAAAGATTTACGCTGCCGTGTGTTGTTTTTGAAAAAACTAAAAAAAAAGGTGCAGTTTTTTTTTTAGAATTCTCAAAAACAACCTGCAGTGGAAGGGGCTTGGTGGAGGTGGTCGGGAAGCTGTGAAATGGAAAGGTGCCGCCTTGGTTGGGGAACGGTGCTGTAAGACATGTCCTTTTGTTCAGCAAGGCCAATCCAACATCCATTACTATTTTCTTGCGTTTGGAGAAAGAAAAGAAGAAAGAAAAGAAACAGAAAAAGAAAGAAAGAAAGAAAGAAAGAAAGAAAGAAAGAAAAAAGAAGAAAACTGAAACTAAAACTAAAACAACCCGTTCCTCTCCCTCCCTCACTCTGCTATTTCATTTCCTTTGCAGGCCAACTCGCATTACTACGCCATAATTGAACAGGTGCGTGAGTGGGCGAACCTAGCTTGATGTTGACATGTCGTTTGAGTCCGCTCAAAAGTAACTTCATCATAAAACAGTTGAGAGGGACCCTACTAAATAGGTGAGACGAGAGAGCCTGCTTGAGGTGGAGGTGCTGTAAAAATAAAACAGGTGAGCCTAGAGCCGCAGTAAACCCAGGAGGCACAGCATTCACCCCTCAGGCTTTCGCAAGAAACTCTACCCGGCCTCCCTCTCCATAGCCATTCCCCTTGCTTTCCTTTTCCTTGCCAGGGTAGGAAGTAGGCACCATGCAGATATCAAAATCTCCTCGCTTTCAACCCCCCCTCCTCCCTCCAGTTCACGGAGGGCAACACGTGGCTGCACAACACGCTCGGAGTGACTCCCACCAACAGATGTTGGGGCGCCTCAAAAGCCCTCTCTTTTCTCCCCCGTCCCCTCACCCCCCCTCCTCCCTCCAGCTGACGGAGGGCAACACATGGCTGTACGACACGCTCGGAGTGACGCCCACCAACAGCTGGGCCATCGACCCTTTTGGCCATTCTGCCACCATGCCGTACCTCTTGAAGAGGTGGGTGGGGTGGGGGCATTTTGTGGCACTGGTGGTGTTGGGTACCTGGGCTGGTCTGTATGTACGACACGCTCGG